GGGACACGGGAAGTCTAACCTTTGGAGTGTCCAAAAGCAGTCTGGCAACACAGCAAATACTGACAGACCCAAGAACACAGAACTGGGACCATCTGCAACTCAAAGAGCCGCCTGAAGGACCTTAAACCCAAAGCCGGCATCAGATACAACCGCAACTGGTAGAATTTTTCCAGAACATGTGAAACTGGGCAAATGGGACTGCCTCCAAAGAGGCGATCCAGATACTTGCATATAGATACCACAGCAGAGCTCAAACAGCTGGTAGATGAATCTTGGGGGGGGGGAAAAAGTGGCTAGCCAAAAGCTTAGACTATGTCAAATCATAATTAGACCTAAGACACGTGCAAAAGCTTAGGCTCCTCGACTGGAGAGTAGGGATACACCGATACCAATACTAGTATTGGTGCCGATACAGAGCATATGGCCGTGCACTCTTACTTGCTCAAATGCTCTGATACCTTCCCTGATACCGGAGAAAATTTCCTCTGACCGGCAGTGATGTAGGGGAACATGGAGCCTGCTTCCTGGCCAATCAGGAAGCCGGTTTCCCAGCCAATTACAATTGACCCGGCCAAACATCATGGAGCCAGCTTCCTGGGCAATCATTAAGCCGGGCACTATGTCATTACATGCCGCCAGGCTTCCTGATTGCTCGGGAAGCCAGCTCCATGCCAGCAGAAACACCAGTATTGGTAATCTGTATCAGCGAGTACCGAAAGCAAAATAATAACTGACTTTGACTGCTTTATTAGTGATGTATAAGGTTTGGGGTTTTATTCACGTGTTTAATATCCATTTATGCCATCCTCCCATGTATTGGAGGGTATGAGATTCATATTATTATTAGAGATGTGTGGAAATATATCTGCTTTAATATTGATTAGTATATACTAATTCTGTGTGGATCCTGGAATTTATTTACAGCACATCATTCAGATGTTGGTAGTAGAACTATGTTATTGTATCCGTAGTAGATTAATTGATTTGATGTTGTGAACGGCAGTCCCACGACATCGCCGGGTAGATGATACATTGATCAGCATTAAGCTGGGTCTGCGCTGAGGGGTGGGAGCAGAGGCGTTTCATCCTGTGCTTGCACCTGATGAGAGGGAGCATCCCCGCTTGCTGTGGACTGTCGGCTTTATAATCCTCTGATTGCGTCTGCGACTCCAAGCCCCCAGATTAAGTAAATTGTGATGTAACGCATAGGGCGGAGTCTCGCAGACGTGGATCGGTGCAGTGCAGCTCCTGTTCGATCCATCTTTGCACCCAGAGAACACGGAGAGAGTTGTCAGGCATACATTTTATTTGAAGTTTTAGGTCAACTTTCCTCCTGTGAGTAATTTTTTTTTAAAGGAGAACTATGGGGGTTAACACTTTTCCCCATAGTTCTCCTTAGGGTAACTGGAGGACACAAACTAGCGTCCTCCCTTTACCCTAAGCTCAGTCTACTGAGACGCCGCAGCTGAAGCGGATCCCACAATCTTGAGCACTTTATACGTGTGATTTCACCTTTGTGCACATCTGAACACAGAATATATGATTGAACTTTCCAGAGGGATATGATTTACAAGAGCAATTGTGAACACTTTGATTGCATGTATTATTTAGCACTTATTATAGAGCTTTTATTTATTGTTCTAGATGAAGCGCAGCTCATTGATCATCATTTGACACATTAAGAGAAGAGGCATACTGAGAATAGAAAGGGGGTTGTTATACCAAGCTAGCCACAATTTGCTTGTCAGGGTCCAAGCCTTCCAATAGACAGCAATATAACCCAACAGTCTCATTTACTGTGTCCCTCAATAAACAAGACAAGTGTGTTAAAATGGCAATAATGCCCCAGGAGATGTTTGCCATAATGTCCCCAACCTGCAGACTAAGATCGCCTACAAGGTAAAGGCTCCATCACCAGTGCTTCCATCTTCACCAAGTCTTCAGGCTCGGCATCTTTAGCATCTTGCTTGGCTGGGCCGGGATGATGCAACTCCTGCAAAATGCGAGTTACTTCATCTCAGCACAGGACCTTGGAGATTGCAAGCTCCGTGCACCCCCCCCCAAAAAAAAAGGACTTCCGCTTTAACACAATGCACCATGACGCCAAGGTGTGAATGGGTCCTGGGTCCAGAGTCCACCAAGAACTGGAGATGGGAGCCTAGAGTCTGCACTCATGAGGGGGCTTCCAAACAGACCCTGCTCATTTCCTAAACAGAACTGTCAGGTCACCTCTTACCTATTGTACCTGCACCCATCATTGATGCACTTCTAAGGAAAGAGAACAGGCCCAGCAATGGCAGCTGTGAGGGCAGGGGAGATGTCAGTTGTATACTGAAAACCAGGATGCAAAATCTCCTTGCTAGTCTAAGAGATAACTAGGCCCATAATTTGCCACGTTTGGGGTAACCAATATGTCTACATTGCTATAATGGATTTACCCCAAAAGCAGGCTTACCTGCTACATTTCCACAGGGGCACCGTTTCATTTAGGGCCATGAACCCACCCCACAATCACCACACCAGTCTCTTGCTCATGTAGCAGCCTTACTTTATTGATGTATATGGAAGATTTTTCTTTATTAAAAAATAATTGTTTAAAACCAGAGAGAAAAGATTGTGCAACAGTCCCACCCACCTACCTACCTCTTGCCATCCCCACCAAACTGGAACAAAACCATTCAACATGGACAAAGTCCCAGAATCCTCTGGGTCCCCCACACACAGGACACAAGGCAGTCATTTGAAAAGTGGCACGTGAATTTATTTTGTGCTCCTTGCACCAAAGCAAAATTTTAGCATATACCCTTCCCACCCCCTCCAGCAGCCGGTAGCATTTAGTAAAAACCTTACCAGATACCGATAATGAAATATGAAAATTTACATGAAAACAAAAATGACATCACAAAGGGAGATTTATATAAAATGGTCCAGAAAACACCAGTTTTACAGGTTATGTTAAATGTCTAAATATACCCTCAGCTGGTAAAGCTGCCATCACAGCGACAGACAGGATTACCTCCACCGAGGGGCCCTTTTGCACTGCATTTATAGGAGTACATGTGTATTAAAAAAAAAGTCAGTTTATGAAAGGACAATTTAAGAGCCAAGTGTAATAAAAGTTCCCAAAGCACAACAGTTGCTGCCCTCTCAGCGATGCAAATAAAAATCATGCAGGTCTCCCAACTCCAGACTGTGCATAACTATCAGAGCCCTGAAGTTTGCAATCCAACCTCTAGTGCAGGGGGTGGCCAAACTCCAGCTGTGGTGCAACTGCAAATCCCATTAGGCGCTGCAAGACTGACAGTCAAAAGGCATGACTCCCAGAAGCAGATGCATTATAGGATTTGTGGTATCACCACAGATGGAGGGCCAGATCTTGCCTACCCTTGCTCTAGGGGCTTGGTTATGCACACTATGTGTGGGACACATACCAGCATGGAGTCTGGCAACTAGGAGGGCATCATCTGTCACCTCAGCTCCCAGTCTTCCTCAAAAGTGAACATTTCAAGTGACACTAAGCTCAGGAGTTCTCAAAAATGTATTCAAGAACATTAACTATTGACAAATATTTATCTTATCACTCGGCTGTAGATCCTCAAATCAACTCTGAATTGGTACTGACACTATCCTTCCATCTGGAGGGTGGCTATTTTTGTTTCCCATGGTCCCTGTGTGTTGTAAAGTAGCCACCACTACAAGCTCACTCCCGGGATGGACTACAATCTCACTACAAAAATGAGTAAACTAAACATAAGATTGTAGTCCATCCCGGGAGGGAGCTTGGAGCGGTGACTACTTTACAACACACACAGGGACTATGGAGGAGAACAAAAGTAGCCACCCTTCAGAAGGAAGGACAGTGTAGGCACCAATTCAGAGATGATTTGAGGATCTACAGCCGAGTGATACACAGTTAGGGTACTTGAATGTATTTAAGAGTTAACTCCTTTTAGGGATGCAGCGATACCAATAATAGTATCGGTACGCGTACTCACCCAAATGCTCCGATGCCTAGCCCAATACTTCCTGTAACAGGAAGCTGGGCAGCACGTCATTACATGCTGCCCGGCTTCCTGATTGGCCTGGAAGGCGGCTCCATGCTCTCTCGTCACTCAGAAAGCCGGGTGCCGTGTCATTACACAGCGCCGGCTTTCTGATTGGCCAGAAGGCCGGCTCCATGGTTTATCGTCCCCTAGTGACGAGAAGCATGGGGACAGCTTCCCAGCTAAATCGGGAAGCCAGGTGGCGAGTCTTTACAAGCTGCCCGGCTAGCCAGGAATCCAGGTGGAGAGTCATTACACACTGCCAAGCTTCTTGAATGGGACTTCTTTCCGGTACTCGGTATCGGGGGTACCAAGAAAAAAAAAAAAATATCGGTACTCGATACCGAAATACCGGTTTCAGTGCATCCCTAACTCCTGGCTTTAGCGTCACTTTCATTGAGAGGAAAATGTAAATATCTTATAAATAAGCATGCACAGTCATTGAAAGATAACAATTTAAGGATTTCTGCAGACAAATGAGTGAAAAAAAAAGGGCCTGAACGTATTTTAGGCACTAGGCCCGAAAGCACTAATTCGGTAAAAAACTAGTTTTTTTTTTAAATATAAATTTGGCACCATGAAGAACACAGCAGCAGAATTTGGTCCATATAAAAATTTGTATGATTGCATCCCTATCTTGCACTTTTTTGGCTGTATAAAGTACCGGGTCGGAACGGATTACATTATCGGCAGTCGCCCATGCAAGGAGGTTAAACCAATTGAAACGGCAAGCGTGGCCACGGGAGTGTTTAATTAAAAAAATGTCCGTCGCCACTCAGTTACAAAAACACAACAAAATCGGCTGAGCTGGCTTGGCGGGTGCTCGGTCCGGTTGGCGGTGGTGGTGAGGGTGCAGGAAGGGCCGCAGCGCGGGTGTCTGGCAGTGACATCAAGCCTACAAGTGATTCAATTCTTGCAGAGTGTCGTCCAACATTTTCGACATCTTGCCGTTTTCTTCCTTGGTGCATCGCAGCTCATCTGGGGGAGGAGGAGAGATGGGAAGAGGGTTAGACCCAAATAGGCGCAGATGATTTCTGCAGAGTGGCTGGACATGGCTCGTGGCAACCAGATTTATTCTTCACAACGTTTAGTGTATTCACCACACTACCTGATGGTACTATGACAAGGAATGCATGCGATACCGTCAGGGTGACACCTGATTGCTGATAGAACTCAAAATCTAGACCATGCTGACAAGCTGTGTGTCATCCACTGCAGCTCGATTCACCTCGCATGTGTGGCAGCTGTGTAGCTTCTTTTCTGCTGGGTCACCAGATTAAAGCCTCTGGGACAGGTTGGAATATTGACTGGCGACTAGGTTTTCGTGGCACCAATGCTTTGATACATCAGCCTTTCTGTATGCAAGACACCAAGGGGGTCAGCTATGGGCATGTGAGAATTCTAGGAAAGCAGTAGAGGGGTTCTCAGATGAATAAGCCAAAATGGACTGGTGTCCTAAAATAATAAATGCATGCATGCATGCATGCATTTTCATACTTCAGTGTAACATGCATTTTAATATCCTTGTTGGGGCCACCGTGCCAACAAATTGTGTGTTTCAGATTCAGTTAGCCACTGAAAATCATCAGGATTTGAATGCTTTTAATGTGTGATATTGCTAGATGCCTTTGGGAATAGTATATTTTGAATGACCTGAAAACAGGATTTTGAATTGCCCAGAAAACCATTGGAGCCCATTTTATGCTGTTTTATGAATTTTAAGCACAAGAATCCTTGATTTTTTTTATCATCCATTGAGGGACACTGGAAGTCTAACCTTTGGCGTGTTCGAAAGCAGTCTGCCAAAACAGCAAACAGATGCTGACAGACCCAAGAACACAGAACTGGGACTACTGGCAGCTCAAAGAGCCATCTGAAGCTGGCGCCAGATGCGGCCACAACGTCCACCTGATAAAACTTTAAGAACATGTGAAGCTGGGCAGATGGGACTGCCTTGAAAGAGGCTACCATCAGACCTAAGACTGAGACTCCTTGACTGGACAGTATGAATCAGAGGACTGGAGTGTCAGGAATCTAGCAGTGTCCAGAAATAAACCCAGATAAGTGTTCTGTTAAAATGGGACACTGCCCGACCCAAAGTGGGAATATACTTTTGTCCAATACTCTAAGATACAAGGCTAATAAGTATTTAGGAAAAGCAGAATGTTTATGGGGACTTATTCCCAATCTCCACAGAGAAATAGTTGGAAAAGTGGTGTAAAGGGAAAGCCTTTTGCAGCCTCAGGAGCTTTAAAGGACCAAAGACTGAAAGTGATCCTGTTGCTTCTGTTTCCAGAGCGGTAAGCACCGAATAAAAAGGCAAAACCTTCTCATTTAACTTGAGTAATATCAGACTGACTCCTTAAGGGTAAGCTCTTCAGTCAAGGACTGGAGCAACTCTGAATCAGAGCCTCTGCAGCTGATGGAAGCTGCCAACACTGCAAGCAATCATAGAATCTGCAGGCGAAGGTGCAGGAGAGCGCCTCTGCAAATAACTAGGAGATTTGGGTCCCAAGTCTTGCATGACTGTGCCAAGAACCTCAACCAAGAGGGGAGAGGGCCCAGACCCACCCAAATGAGCTAAAAGGAGGATCCCAATAAGAGAATAGGATTCCAGGTTGTAGCTGCAATAAAGAAGCCCCAGTCCCACCGTGTCTAACATCAGAGATGCTGCAACGGAGTTTCTCTAAGGAAACAGAAAGACTTAAGGCATGAGGCAAAGCCTCGGGTACCCACAAATGCCAGACAGCCGTTACCAGGTGAGGCTTGGATGGTTGGAAGCGATGAGTCACTAAGAAAGCAGTAGCATTGAATGGCAGATCAAAGTTTCATGTGGCTCTTTCAAGCAGGAGGAGCTTCAACACTGCAGATGACCTCAGCGCTCAGTCCCATTGTTAACCCTTTTGCAGAAAAACAAAAACAGGAAATAGAGGGAGAAAAAAACCAAAAACAAAAAAACACACTAAGCAACCTATGCAAATTAAATAGTTAAAGCAGATTCAAAAATCAAAAATTCTACCAGTGCATCCCTCTCTGTATGATGATTAATAAGACATGTCAGGTGTAAAATGCTGCAATTATGAATACTTACACTTCCAGAGCATTCACTTCCTGCTTTGAAAGTACAAAAAGAGTTCAGTTTGCCAAAGCAATGCACACTGGGATTGCCTTATCAGCAGAGCATTGCTAGGAAATCTCATGAGATCTCAGGGAAAGGCATTTTCCTCTGGCACATGTGCCAGAAATCCTGGAAATCAAAGGAGAGCTAGTAATCTGCCCTTAGTAAACATGGCCACTGTCAGAATACTGGGGAAGAAAAGAGAAATGTATGCAAATACAAAGCCTGCAATTATCTAGAAGTACGTGTTTGTAGATTGCCATTACTAAAAAGGTGTTTGTTATTTTAAATATATGGGTACAGGTCCGCTTTAATTGTGCACAGCCCACTCAAGTCTTCAGAGACAGCGGGGAGGCAATGCCAGTGGCTCTAGACCTGGAAAGCACTCTGCAACTAACTTTTTACAGAGCCCAGAACCCGAAGGTCACTTCTAGTCTATCCACAGCAAGTTATCTGCAAAAGAGCAGTCAAGGCTCCAGCAGGGATGTAGATTAGACTTTTAGTTTAAGAAAAAAATATATTGAATAAACATGCAACCAAAAAAAAAAAAAAAAAAAAGAAATTAAAACACTGCAGAGTTGAATAAGAGAAAACACTAAGGCATGCTGGTGGTAGGGTGGGTTACCCTGGGCTATCCTACAGTTCTTTTTTGCCAGTGTCTAATCCTTCTGTAGGCAGCAGTATAACCCAAAAGGTGGTTCTCAGTAGATGCGAACATTCATTAATGAAGGCAAGAGACCGCTTCCTCCACAGATATGGAATTTCCTAAGCCATAGGTGTTAAGTTACCTCCAATTGTTAAAACCTCCAGCCCAAAAAAGAATACCAAATACAGACTGCTGAAGGAGCTGGTTAACACATTTACTTTGTACATTACCCACCCTGAGACATTAAACATAACTAATATACAATCAGATTCCTCGATTGGGGAAAGTTGGAGCCAGTGTTAGATGTTCTTTGCGGTCTACTCCCATTAAGGACATTTAGCTTTCTCTCCTGATAAGTGAGGAATTCCCTTATCCGAAGCACAAGGACAAACAGCTGCCCATTGCAGCTATTTCCCGAGCAGTGCAGGATTATATAATTGGCTGGTTGTTGCAGGTTATTATAACTCAGCTAGGCTACGAGAACCATTCCCAACAGACATCTGTGAACCACAAAACACTAAAGAGGATTGACGAAACATGTGAAATGCTTACTTTGCGTTCATCTCTCAGTAAAACCCTCGGCACCTGTATGGGAAAAGGCAAATGTATACAAAAGTCACCACAAGTACGGCACGCTGGCATCGTGGGTGACCGAGCAACATTCAAGTGCAAATGTGAACCCAAACCACAGCAACTGCTTAGCCAATCGTGTGTGGCTTCTGCGGGCACAAGGAAGAGGTGCAGTGACTTCAAGCAGATGTAGCAATCATACACACAAACCACACACTGGATTGAAACTGGGGTGACCCATGTAGGCCATTTAGGTAATCGATCTGTAAGCTTCGCTGTAACTTTCCGGGGTCTAAATGTTGCAGAGTGTAGAAAATGAAATACCTGGAGGTGCACAAAACCTTTAAGAGCTGGAGGCTGGTCCCGTCACTCAACCACCATTGCCCCCCCCATAGAGTGCATCAGCTAAACTGCTGTTTTGGAGCAGCTTGTATACAGACATTTCAACATACACACAGATGCAATTAAAAGCAAACCCCTGAGCTGGTTTATTGATAATAAACCGGTTTCAGTGTCAACGTACATCAGAGGTCCTACATATGGTTATTGGGTTGCTCTGCAAAACAAGCATATCGGTTGGATGAGCTAGAAAGGAAACTGATCAGGGCTGCCGTGTAAAGCCGGGTTATGGCTATAGACAGTTCTATGCCATCACAAACGCTTACGAGCTATGATAGAGGAATCCCTGCTGTTTTCTTTGTATTCAGACAGCTGCTGGTGGAGGCTGCCGATTGGCTGCTAGCTCACTTGGCCCGACAATTCTCAAACCGGCTCATTTGATGAGCTGATCGAGGGATGCCAGGTGCCGACAGCAGCATCCACACAGCAAATTTCATCAGGACCCGGATGAAATTCAAAGCGTGTATACCCGGCTTAATCCTGAGCCCCCAGAAGTGCATTGGCTCCTTTACATTGTCAACCATTCAATAAAAAATCCTTCTGAACCCTGACCATTGGTGTGGCAGCCCTGAAATTCTATCAATAAGATGGTGAGCTCCATAGGATGAAGGTACAGGACTACACAGCCACCATACTAATGTTAGTCTGAAGGTAGCTGCAACAGGGACGAGAAGCCAAGTTTTCCACCCCACAGGTCCACTCAAATTACGGATGCACCAATACCGTTTTTTCGGTATGGAGTACGAGTATCGAAACTTTGCTTTTAGTACTTGTCTATACCGAGCACGGATACCGGTGCTTCCGCTGGCATGGAGGAGGCTTCCCAGGCAATCAAGAAGCCGGGCGGTGGGTAATGACATGTCACCCAGCTCCATGTTTTTAGGCCGGTTTGATTGTGATTGGCCGGGAAACCGACTTCCCAGCCAATCAGGAATCGGGGCGGCGAGTAAAGACCCATGTCGATTGGTCGGGAAGCCAGCCAATCAGCATCGAGCCGGCTGTCATTATTCGCCACCTAGCTTTCTGATCGTACGGGAAGCTGGCTCTATGTTCCCCTATGGCACTGCCGGTCAGAGGAAAGATTCCTCTGGCTGGAAGATCTGGAATCCGAGCATTTTGGAGAGTATGAGTACTCGCCCAAATACTCGGCATCGGTGGATCCCTAACTTAAAGTATACCACGCACAATGAGATAAAGCGCCAAGTTATATTCCTTTCTTGTAGAATAATGCTGCTCCAGGCCCCCCCACTGCTGGCCAAATGATCTCTGCTGAAGGATGAGGATCCAAAATAAAACTGGGTGATCCACCCCTTTAGCCGAGTTCATATGACCGAATGTCTTTGGTTTAAGACATGTGACCAGCACTGAAGGGAACCTGTAGAGGAGGCATTTATTTCAGCCCATTACTCCATCCATCCCATCATGTCTTATCAGCAGAGTACAGGGACCCTTTAAAATCCTCAATCCAATTTGTTTCCTTATAGTAAGATCAGTATACTTAAAAACGCGCAATTCTTGATGAATGCGTCATTCCATTATGGATGAAAGCAGAACAGCCTATGTAGTTTTCAAGCAGCTGGTATTAACAGAAGCTACAACAGGCTACCCTACAATCACCCCATAAATCCACTCTGTTGTCAATGAAAATTGGAGCACCCAGCAGTCATCTAAGCAGCATCCCGGCAGGAAAAGACCACTGCAGAATAACACTTTACAAGATGGAGCTTTATTGGGGGGAGAAAGGCCAAGCAACACAACATTACAACCAGATAATACTTCAGCCACTTTCAACGTGCACAAACCACCCTCCCTCCACCTCAATGGGAGATGACCCATATATCCGTGTTCTGGGTGTATCCCTCAGACGGGTGTATGGATGTACTGCCGCTGTTCAGAATGTCAAAGTGTTTTGTGTTATCAGTGCAGATCTGAGAACTTCCTACTGGGGGGGCCTTATTGTCAGAAATGGCCAAAACCTGGTCACACTGGCAGATTCAAACTGAACAGTACAACCCTAACGCAGACAAGCCCTGAATGAATATACAACGAGCTATGTGATATATCCACAAGTCTGAATGGAATAGCCAACATGTCAGTTATGGAAGGACTCTGGAACAAGGAGCCCCTTTGGCTTTTCTCAGGTTTCTATACTTGGAGACCTCCCGAAAGGTGCTCCTGGATCTCTGCCAGTCTCAATCATCCTGCGACAACGGTAAAATGGAAACGTGGATGCATAGGAAAAAAAAACTAATCAAATTCAACATTCCTGTTTCCATCTATAACTTTACGGCTTCATATACAGGGGCTGTGGGCAAACATCTAGAGCCATTTTCTATGCAGTCGTCCTCTGGTCGAATTTGGCAGGTAGCAATAATGGCAAATGATGCTGCAGTGCTGAGCTTGCCAGGCCATCTTAGATTTTGGCAAGCCACTAGGCTAACCTGTACCCGTCTCGACATGCCATTTCAAACATTTGAGGGATGCTCGGTGGGTGTCAGTATGCATCAGACCTAGATGCAAAAACACAAGAGCAGCAACTGTGCACTTTAAATCAATTTAAGAGAATTTTGAAAGTAGTGAATACATACTAAGCTAGCTGCAAAAGCAGCAACACCTCCTGGTAGAGATTATGTTGTACTGTTCAGTGTGAAAGTAACATCAGCAAAGCGTTACCCCGCCAGTGGCCCTTTGCAGACCCCACCAGTCCATAGTGGAAGAATTAGTTTGGAAATGCACTTCAATGACTGACCTCTAACAGTCTTATGTAGTAAGTCCCCAGTCTCTGAAGACACTGCAGGAGATATCCAGTCTCCTAATATCCTTGTTGCACGTCTTCAGTCTGATCATCTCCTCTGTCTGAAAGTCTTCTACCATATACTGATCATATGCGGCCCTTTGGAGCCATCAAGGGCCTCAGTAGAGGCCCCTTACACCTTGTAGCCCTAGTTGTGAACTTAGACTAACAGCGGCACATATATTCACAGCTATCCCCATGATGTGTAGTCTCAGAACACCTCCAGCTGACTGGCGACAAACTAAAAGCAGATACAAGCTTTGAACAACAATGAGCCCCTCCATTATTGACCGATAAGTTGGGTATTTTTTTTAAATGTCCTGTTTTGGAGGTAATGGTGAAAGCAGTTCCATGTTGGTGGGGAGGGTGTTTAATCGAGGGGGACAATAGGTGCAATGATACAGATACAGTGCCTTCCAACGTGGCACTAGACAAACTAGCAACACCCTGGCCGGAAGCGCTGTACGTCTCCATCCGTTCCGCCATGCTATGGGAGTATGGGGTTGGGCCGGGAGACCTCAGTCACAGAGGTCATGGAGGGTGAATTTCAACTCACTAGACAGAAGCCTGTTTTTCTCCATCTCTCTGTAGAGGCGCTCTGC